AAATTTAAAAAAAAATTAACAAAATATAGCATATAAAAAAATTATAGAAACTAACATAACAGGAAAAATTAAATAAATTAAGAATTTATGTTAGTTTTGATTTTATAAATTCAAGCAAAATATATTAAAATACAAAAATTAAAAGACTCAGAAAAACAAGAAAATCAAAGACACAACATATATATAAAACAAAAATCAAAATTAATAAACAAAATAGAATGTATTTAAATGAATTATGAAATATAGAAATAGCAGTAAAATAAAATTTAAATGAAAATTGCATTAATGTGAGGCAGTGACAAATAAGTGTAACATATAAAATAAAATAAAACATATAAACAAAATAAATGAAATAAAACGGCTTTATAAAAATTCCAAAATTTTCAAACAATCAAAAAAACACAAATTTAAATAAAATTATTAAAAATATAAAATAAAATATATTAAATTAGAATAAAAAAAAATTAATTAAAATAAAAAGAAATAAAATAAAATAAATGAAAATAAATTGAAATACAATATATAAATATAATATATAATAAATATTAAAACAAAGAAAATAATAATTTCTTATAAACATATTTATTTACAATAAAATAAAATTTATTAAATTGGTTAAAAACAAAAATATTATTTGCAATACAAAAAATAAATTAAGTGAAAATTAATTAAAATTAGAAAAACGAAGGATTAAGTAAATTTAATTAAAAATAAATAAAACACATTACATTAAAATAAAATTAATTAAATTGAAAATAAATAAAAAAAAATAATTACATTAAAATAAAATTAATAAGTTGTAATAGAATAACTTAAAAAATAAAATAAATAAAAAAATTAATTACAATAAAAAGAAATAAATAAAATAAATGGAAATGAATTGAAAATATAAAAACAAAGAAAAAAATATTTTCTTTTAATATATTTTTTACAACAAAATAAAATTTATTAAATTGGTTAAAAACAAAAATATTATTTGCAATACAAAAAATAAATTAAGTGAAAATTAATCCAAATTAGAAAAACAAAGGATTAGGTAAATTTAATTAAAAATAAATAAAACACATTACAATAATATAAAATTAATTAAATAGAAAATAAATAAAAAAATTAATTACAATAAAATAAAATTAATAAGTTGTAATAGAATAACTTAAAATCAATTTTTATTGATATAAAATAAATAAACCAACTTTAACACAATTACTATCAATAAAAACCGCCATTATACACATACATATTTTCGTAAAAATTGCCATGAGTACAATATATACATATTTAACTTAGTGGTAATGAGTTTTTTAGAATATAAAAAAATTTTAGAATTGTTCTAGTATACTTATATTCGTTTCTTTGTAACTAACACAAAAAAAACAAATTTGAATATGCGCGTTGTAGATTTCAAGTCAAAACTTTCGAAATATTGTATTTGCTTTCTTTTATTTCTTTTGACTTTGAAATGGAATACTTAAAGTACGAGTAAATAACGAATACTATGTTTTTTAATAAATTTGTACAAATCGACTTCTTTTTCTTAAAACCCTTTCTTTTTTTGAGCGGTTTCTTTAAATACTTACATACATAGTATATAGAGTAGTAAGAATTGAGTGAAAAAAAAATATTTAACTTTTAACTAGTACTGAAGTAAATAATCCCTTTTTGTCACATGTAACATATATACTTACATATACGAGTATATTTTCCAATTAGTACAGTGCGTAAAAAGCAACTTTTGAAATAGGTAAAAAAAAAACCTACGACTACTGCGCCGGCCTTTAAAACCCAAAGATTATTAAAGAATTACATAATATATATTATATAATATTATATATATCTCGTGAAATACATTTTTGTCACTAATACATACTTCTAGATATCTTTTTATTGTACACCTAGAAAATATCGATAATTTTTGAGGTCATGGTTTGTCTTTAAACGAAAATCGAAAAAAAAATATTTACGGAAAACTGTTTGTTTTATATGATTATTTAATCAATTTCAAAATAAGCAGAATAGCGGTTAAATCTATTAATTAATCAGTAGTAAATGAAATAATTAATCATTAGTCGAATAATAAGCTAATTAACAGTCAATTAACTATTATGATTATTCAAATCTGATTGATGAATTAATTGACTATTGATTAAGTGATTATTTCATCAAGCGATTAATCACAGATACTTAGTTTGAAGCAGTTATGCACAAACAAATCGACACCAAGAGACGTTCACGGTGAGTCTTTAGACTAAACACACTTGCTGTTCGCTGTATCTTGGTTTAATAATTTCTTTGAAATTTCAAACTTAAAGACAAATCATAATCAAGCTCGTGTTTTAGATATGTATAAAATTTGGTAACTAACAATCACCGTCTATTAAGTAAGTTTGTACAATATTACTATGCCAAAAGTGTGTGTGAGTATTTTAAATAACTTCATTTTTTGACGTTGAAGAAAAATTGAAATTTCTCTTTTTTGCACTTGTTTTTTTTATTTTATGGCACAAAGAGATAACTACAAATTAACTATGAAAAATGTGTAGTCAAGAGGTCCGTCCAAGCGCAGAAGAGTACTTAAAATTCTACCGAACTCTCATATCTCTAATTCACGTTGAAAATCAGTTGATAAGTAAAAAAAAATTTATTTCCTATTATTCAAAATTTTAATTTAATATTGTTAAATTTGTAAATATTGTAAAAATAAACTCGAATCTAATCTCTAATTATTTCGATTAGTCTATCATATATTGCGTATTATGAGTTGACTTCATATTTGTCAACTTCTTCTATGGTTTTTTCCATTTATAGAGAAACCAACAGTTTCAAGCCGCCCGAATCGATTATCAAACACTAGTTCACTCACATCACGTTTACAATTATTTTGGCTAATCATTTGGTGAATTGATTAGCTGTCGATTAATCGAAATATCAGTCGAAAAGGCAAATTTTGGACAAAACGTTCAAAACAAACGATCTAATCAAGTTTAATTTATTTATATTGTATATATTTATTAATTTTTCCAGTAGTTCATTTTTGTTAATTTATCGATTAATCGAACCAAATTAAAAGTTGGTGTTAATAAAATTAATAAAATAATGTCAAAATCACCTCAGCTGAATTTCCAATACTGGTATATTTGAAGCGCCACTTATTACAATTAGTTGATTTAATAAAGATTTTGTAAAATATTAACTAAACTGAAGAGCAATATTTTGAATCGATTATTGTATTTAAAAAACATTTAAAATATTAAACTGACAACTATAATAAAATTTATACCGTTAACAATTTTTTTTTTTGCTAGAGCAACTTTTGTAAAAATAAATATAAATTAATTCAATTATTGATTAATTATAATTTATCGCGAGTTTACGACAACCTTCAAAAACAGATGGTAAATTTCTTCGTTTGAACAGAGAATAATATTTAAACTAAAATCACGATTAATTTTTGGAAATATTTTAATCATTTGATGCCATATTTGTTTAGTAAACGGAAATTTATTGCGCTATAAATTAAATATATCCATGACATGATGAATATTACAAGTAACGGCCAATACAGTCAATAGCTTTTCTACGACCAAATTTTACTGAGCACTCATTGACATTCAAATATACATATTTTTTGTTTTGACAATGTCATATTTCCTTTATTTACGAGCTGTGTGTGGCTTATCTAATAGTTTTAATGCCAAAAGGAGGTCCTAAACTTAAGGCTTGATATTTTTGTGGCAATACGGTTGCGTTCAAAACTCATCTGTGGCTGGCAAAAGAGCACTAGAAATGCTATACACAGATCCTAATGTAGTTAATATCATGATATACATATAATTTTAATAGGGAAATTATTAGAAATGAGATATTCGAGCTGGTTTGTGGACTTATTACAATAATGTTACGTATACGCAGCGTTGGGTAGGAAATTGCAATAAAAACATTTCCTCATCAATCAATAGTAATAGCAGCGCGGATATAAATTTATTAAAATAAAATCATTTAAGTCATTTATTTAATTGTTGAAATCGCAAATGCCAATCAAATCACACACATACAAATTCTTGTAATGAACAGAGAGAAAAATATAGATACATATATTAAATGCATTTAATTAAGAGTGTCAAGGTTCAATGAAAGTTTAACGAATTTTAATGATTTCTAATATATAAATATGTAAATAATCATTGATATAAATAGTTTTTTCCCAAGCGAAAACACGCCCACACTTTTGGTATAGAGAAAATATACGATATTGAAAATCTAAGAAAAATAATAAGTAGTATATTATATAAGCATTTGGTTAGGGTATATAAGTGAAAGGTAACATACGCATATCATACATAATATACATACTCATACATACTCATTTACTAATACTTTATAAAGGTATTTAGGTATTTATATACATACAAAATTATATTTAAAAATCATCATTTTAAAACATATAATATACATACATTACATACATGCATACAAACATACATTTATACATACATATTTACACGCTTTACCAGAAGCTACAGCGCGATATTGAAATTGAACTAACCAATAATTCTATTCTCTATTCCAAATATTTCTTCATGCACTGTACGTTTGAATGCAAAAAAAAAAACAAAAAATAACAACAAAAAATCAACAATCAACAACAACACAAACTTACTACAAATATGCACTAAAAAACAACAACACAACACTTTTTGGCATCTGCAACAATAATGAAATGCTAAAACACTCAACTAAATAACAACAACAAACAAACAAAAATAACAACAACAATTGCAATAAATAAATTTTTGCTTTGTACGTGCATTTCGTGTGGCACTGTAATTAATAACAAAAAAAAAACAATTTGATAAAAAATGGAACTCTACAAAACACTCAATACACTCTTCAACTCTTCATTCCTCTTCCAACAACGACAACAACAACATCACAACTGCCTACATACATACATACAAAACATACAAACATATATGTACAAAAATAACTAAACTAAATAACAGCAACAAGAACAAGATCCAACAAATTTGTACATCGCAAATTTGCCACCACACTTCAAAGAGACAGACTTGGAGAATATGCTCTCGAAATATGGTCAAGTTGTTTCCACACGCATCTTACGCGATCAGCAGATGAACTCCAAAGGTGAGACGGCGTAAATATTTTATATGTATATTTATAAACTTTAATTTACTGTATAATTATTTAAACTTCATTTGTCTTTAACAGGTGTTGGCTTTGCACGCATGGAGAGTCGCGAGAAATGTGAACAAATTATACAGATATTCAATGGTAATACAATACAGGGTGCCAAAGATCCACTTTTGGTTAAATTCGCCGATGGTGGTCCAAAAAAGAAGAATCTCTATAAGAATCCTGATCCAAATGCGCGAACGTGGCGTGATCCCACCGAAGGGATACCGGTCACTTATGATCCAACTATGCAACAGAATGGTGTTAGTGTTAATGTTGGCACTCCGATTGGAGTGCCGTATTCACGTTTTAGTGCACCACCGGTTAGTAGTTATCCAATGACTACCGGTTCGCAATGGATACCCGGTTATATGATGACACAACCGATACAACAAGTTGAGGATCAAGTAAGCATTTTTTTTTTTTTTTTTGATTAAAGGTAGAAAAAATTAAGAGATATAATAACATATGTCAATGTAGTATTTTATTTTATTTTAATTTATCTCATTTTTTTTTATTTTATTTTTGTTATTTTATATATTTTTTATTTGATTTTATGTTATTTTATTTTAGTTTATATTGTTTCTTTTTTCATTTTATGTTATTTTATTTGATTTTTGTTTTATTATATTTTTTTTACTTTATGTTATATTATTTTGTTTTATTCGATTTTATTCGGCTGGGTTTTGTTTTGCTTTATTATATTTAATTTTATTTTATTTTATTTAATTTAATTTAATTTAATTTAATTTTCTTTTATTTTATTTTATTTTATTTTATTTTATATTATTTTATTTTATTTTATTTCATTTTAGTTTATTTTAGTTTATTTTATTTTATTTTGTTTTATTTGATTTTATGTTATTTTATTTTATATTATTTTTATTTCATTTTATGTTATTGTTTTAATTTATTTTTTTTTGTTTTTTTTATATTATATTATTCTATTTGATTTTGTCTTATTTAATTTTAGTTTATTTTATCTTATTTGATTTTAGTTTATTTTATGTTATGTTATTTTGTTTTAATTGGTTGGGTTTTGTTTTGTTTTATTATATTCTAGTTTATTCTTTTATATAATATAATTTATGTTTATTTTATTTTTTTTTTATTTCTTGTATTTTTATTTGATTTTTATTATTTTATTTTAATAAATTTATTTTTTTTAATTTCTTTTTTTTTTCGCTCTATTTTTGTTTCATTTTATTTTATTTTATTTTATTTTATTTTATTTGGTTGGGTTTTGTTTTGTTTTATTATGTTTAAATTTATTTTTTTTGTGTTATCATAATTAATTTTTTTTTTACTTTCTGTTTATATAAAATCACAGTATGCAAAGAAAAATTAAAACAATAAATTTTGTAACACACAGCGCAGAAAAAAATAAATAAAATTTTCTTTCTTATTGTTATAGTATATGCAGATGGCAACTGCCCCACAATTGGGTGTCGCATCCTATAAACCAGACGCTGTTAATCAAGTGCAACCACGCGGTATCTCAATGATGGTTAGTGGTGATCCATCTGTGCCATATGCACCAATGGTGCCACAATTAGCCACATTGCAAATTGGGAATTCCGTAAGTACAAGCTACAAAAAACAGCAACAGTTTTTATATAATTTATCGGAGTGAGTAGTGGTAGACTAACACGTTACAGTAAATGCACTCATTCAGATTTTTAGTTTGATTTTGCATCATACAATATCATACATAGACATTTGTATAACATGCATACTTTTATGTATGTTAGTTTCACATCACCGACATCTGGTACGAGTATTAGAATTGCTTTCGCTGAACATTTTTCACAAGCAAATAACTGTTTTTTTCTTCTACTTCAACACAATGCAATTTAATTTTTTTTTGCCACAAAATTTGCAGGCAAATAGCATTGTCTGTATGTAAATAAATTTTGATTCAACAGTAATACGTTTTTCAAGAAATTTTAAAGGCACCAATTCTATATATAATATATTTTTTTTTACAAACAAATTTTTTTCAACGCGCATATGCGCACTTTCTCTAAATTATCACTTAATCACATGCACAAGATTTCTCTTTGAAATATTTTCATTTTATTTTTAATTATGGAAAAAGTATTTGCTTCACTTGATATAAAAACATATACATTAGCACCCTTCTTATCCTTTGATCATTTCTATTACACAAATTTTGTATATACAAAGTTGAAATATGTAATATAAGAGATTGTAAAGCACAAAAACAAAAGAAACAAAAAAATAAATATCCATGCAAAAATCATCAACAACTTCATCATCTTCATCATCATGATCATCATCGTTTTGGCCATTAATAAGTGAATATTAACCGTTAAATATGAAATTTGTTTTTCTTTCTTTATTTGATTTTTTTATAGAATTTCTCTCCATCATTACAGTATATTAGTCCAACTTATCCATATTATGCACAACCAACAATTATTCCAACAATGCCAATGACAGATTCCGAACAGGCTAGCACAGCTGCATCACCCGATGAGGCATATACACAGTATCCACATCCAGCCGCTCCCAAATAGGTCATCGCGAGGTGAGTGCGTGTGACTTACAAACAAAAACAAAATCAAAAACAAATTGCGAAAAAAAAAATTAATTTAAATTAAGACAAAATTTTGTAAGCAAACAAAATCCGAAGGCTTAGAAATTTAGAACTTCATTTGATTTCATATTTTTATCGTTTTTTTTTTTTTTTTTTTTTTTTTTGTATTTTCTACAAATTCAAATGCCAAACACTCGTGGTGGTAATAAGCGAGTTAGTTACTCAGCAGAAGAAAAAAACATGAAACTGGAACGTGTTTAACGGTGTTAAAGCTTGCACTTTCATTTGGAAAAATAATTGATTGCATTGAAATAAAATTCATTACATTTCATTACATAATCTAACAACAGCTTCTTTTATATTTGCTACCGTTTAATTAGCTTGTGGCGTAAATTCGAGAAATTGGCTTAAAATAAAAAAAAACTATAGTGTTTTGGTTTGTTGCATGTCACTTAGCTGGTAGCATACTTTTACCAGGCAATTTTCCATACCTTAGATACCCATCGTCATGCCTAGCTAAAGTAAGTTGCTTTTTAATTGCGAAATAGATAACATCATCAATGTCACATGAGCTCACTCACTCACACATGTACATATATTTAGAAAGCTACATCGGAGTATAAGCATTTCTTAACTCTTACTTATTTTATTTTACTCTTTTTTGTTGTATTTGACTTTCCTTTATTTTATACAAAATTTTATTCTACTAATTATTTAAATAAATTTAATTTTATTTTGTTTTATTTGTTTTTATTTTGTTTCAACACATATTTTTTCATTAATTTTATTTTATTTCATTTTAATATTTCTTTTATTTTTGTTTATTATTTTATTTTTCTTTCCTTTATTTTTTCACTGTATTATTTTACTTTCTTCTCATGTATTTTGTTTTTAACACATTTTATTTTAAATTAATTTATTTTATTGTATATATTTTATTTTACTTTAAATTATTATTTTTTTATATCTATTTTATTTTCCTTTCTTTTATTTTATTTTATTTTATTTTATTTTTTGTTTCACTTTATTTTATGTTATTCCATATTATTTTATAAATATATTGTTTTAAACTTTATTTTGTTTCTTTTCCTTTATTTTATTTTATTTTAATGTATTTATATATTCAGATATTTTATTTTTTTTTGTTTATTTTATTTCAATGTATTTTATTTTATTATATTTTATTTTGTTTCATTTTATTTCATTTTAATTTTTCTTTCCTTTATTTTTCACAATATTTTACTTTACTTTCTTCTCATTTATTTTGTTTATTTTTTTATTTAATATATTTTATTTTAATTAGAGTTATTTTATTTATTTGATTTTATTTTTCATTTTACTTGGTTTTTCGTTATTTTATTTTGTTTTATTTATATATTCAGATTTTTTATTTTATTTTTTGTTTATTTTATTTTATTGTATATTATTTTATTATATTTTATTTAATTTCATTTTTTTATTTTTTTTTTTTAACTTTTTATATTTTGTTTATATAATTTTTATTTTATTTTGTTTTTTTTTTTATTCCGTTTTATTTCATTTTAATATTTCTTTTATTTTTGTTAATTATTTTATTTTTCTTTCCTTCATTTCTTCACAGCATTACTTTACTTTCTTCTCATGTATTTTGTTTATAACACATTTTATATTAATTTAATTTATTTTATTTAATTTATTTTTTATATTTAATTTGTTTTACTTTATTTTAAAATTTTTTTGTATTTATTTTATTTTATTTTACTTTATTTCATTTCATTTCTGTTTCTCTTTTATTTCATGTTATCTTATTTCTTTTTTTCTTTTGTTTAATTTTATTTCATTTTAATTTTTCTGTCCTTTATTCTTACAATATTTTATTACTATACTTTATTTCCTTCTCTTTTATTTTTTTATTAATACATTTTATTTTAATTAAGGTTACTTTCTTTATTTTACTTTATTTTATTTTTTGGTTTGCTTTGTTTTTCGTTATTTTATTTTATTTTATTTATATATTCAGATATTTTATTTTATTGTATTTTATTATATTTTATTTTATATTGTTTTATTAAATATAATTTCATTTAGTTTTTTTATCTTATTATATTTGGTGTATATTATTTCATTTAATTTCTTGTTATATTGGTTTTGCCGCCATGCTATATAATAATTTTTGTTGTAAGTATTAAGTAAAGTAAAGGCCTGGTTGTTCGTATGAATTGAATATTTTGGTTATATTTTATTTAGTTTGCTTTAAAAACGAATTTTTTATGTTTTAATTTTTTTTGTTGTGTTTCATATTATGGTTTTTCATTTTATTTTATTGATATATTTATTTTATTTTATTTTCCTTTGTTTTAATATTCTTCTCAGTTTAACTTTAATTATTTATATTATTCTATCTTATTTAAGTTGTATTTTATTTCATGCATTTATTTGTTTAATTTAAATTATTTTATTTTATTTTACTTAATATATTTTATTTAATGGCATTTTATTTGTGGCTTTAACTCAACTTATTATTTTTTATGTAAATTAAGTTTATTGCGTTTTACGTTTATATATTCATATAAAAATTGTTATTTGCTAATATATATTATTTTGGATTTTATTTAATTTCTTTTTTTTTTGGTTTAATTTATTAAAGTAAATTATTTTAATCTTCGCTTTAATTCAATTTAATGTTTTTCTGTGAATTTAATTTAATTCTTTCTAATTTTTTATATTATTATTTTTATTTATACCTGTTATATTTGACTTTATTTTGTTTGATTTAATTTGTTTTTTTTTTTTTTTGTTTTTTAGGCTTGTTTTATTTTCATTAATTTCTGTTTTATATTGTTTATTTTTATTTGATTTAGTATTTAGTCCTTATATTTTTTCATGGTATTTAATTTTTTTTTTGCTATTATATTATGTATTTTTTAATTTTTTTTGTTTGCTTTATTTTATAATTTTTCCAATTAATTTTATTTTTCTTCTGCCTTGGAATGCAAATAATTTCTCTTCACATGAATGTATGTGTATGGAGTGACGCTTACTCTTTCTAACTCACTCTCATTACGCGCTAATTTTTGTTTAATTAATTTTTAACACACATTCTAAAATATTTTTTTCATTATATCCTGTGAAAAAAGACTAGAATTTATTCATACATTTTTTTTTTTTTTTTTTTTGAGGTAGTACACATAATATTAGTTGGTTTGAAAATGCATATACCCACACTTACATACGTTCAGTCACTCGTTCACGCTCGCAACTATTCAAAATATAGCTATACTACGTAGCAGCATACATACATATGTGTTTTTCATGAATTGGCTTTTGCCGTTAGCCATTACTATACGTGTATATTTCATACAAGCATTCTTACATACATACAGACATACATATGTGTGCGGCGCTGTGTTGTGCCACGCTTTTTGCTGTCTGCTGCCTTGCTTGTGCTTGCCTACTTTGCTTGCCTGTTTGTGCTTATCTGCTCTCAGCATACGTATTGTGCATCTAGCTTTAAAACTAAATCAAAAACATATATATTTTTTTCTGGTTTTTTTTTTTTGCTTAAATCTTTTCGTACAGCTCTAAGTCATAAATTTTTTTTTGTTATTTATATATTTTATTATTCATATCTCTCTATGAATCTAACACTGATTCATTTCAAGTATTCCATCATCATCTGCCCACAACTGGCTGCACGACTTGAAAAGAAGAAGAACGCGCATCGTTGCAATTGCTTTAATTTTCCCTTCTTGTTCTTCTTTTTTTTCTTGTTGTTGTTGTTGTTGTTGTACTCTGCTTTCATTATATTCCGTTATGTGAAGGTAGTGTATTTCACGGTAGCGTAGCATAGTATTTGATGGCCATCACTATCATTATGAATATTATCCTGTGTGCCCTTCACACCTGTTTTTTTTTTTTCTTTTTCTTTTCGTACGTAAGTATGTATGCAGATGTGTTTCGCGATTGCCACTATGCTGCTCTAGCCGCAATCCGCGTAAGAAACGGCGTTGATGGTAACGATGTTAACGAAGCGTCCTTGGTTATATAAGCTGTGAGTGGGCCAGCATATCCCCACACATGTGTACATAAATACATATATACATATATCTAAATATAGTATATTACATATATTTTAGTACATGCTTGGTTGTCAACCGCTATAGTGCGCGTTTTGTTTCAATCATCATTATCATTATAATTTCGCTAAAAGATGACGTACATTTATGTTTGTACAAAATGTTTGCATATTTTTCGAAATTAAATTGCTTTCGTTCATTTAAGTACAGCGGTATCACTTCGCAGTATCTGATAGAGATGTGCGACTAGATAATTAGTTTATACCAATTAATTTAATCCTTTTTAATCAATTAATTGATTCTTAATCTCTTCTAGTGGTTTTATATGTATATATAATAAAAAATAATCCATTTCGAGGTTCCCTACTTTTTTAAAGAACAATATTTATTATTATTCGAAAGAACATTCTTTGGCATTTATTTTTCGAAAATTATCCCTTTCAAATATGGGTCGTGACTACGACTCCGACGGTCCATCAAATTTTCAATTACTCGTTCGAGCATTTCAACTGGTAAGTTGGCGAATGATATTCGTGATGTTTTGCTTCAAGACCTGAATCGAAGCGAAATTATTCGCATTGACCTTAGACTTTACATATCCCCACAGTAAATAGTGTAACGGTCTTGGTGGCCAATCGACCGGCCCAGAACTTGAAATTATCTACTCACCGAAGGTTGCTCTCATTAAATCTATTGATTGTTGCGATGCGATCAGATGTCGACCAAAATCACGAGTTTCAAATAGTCGGTTATCATGGATACGTTCACACCCGTATCATTTTTGAAGAAATATGGACTGATGATTCCGACAACCCACAAACCACACCAAACCGTTGTTTTTGCTTGTTTATGTACATATCCATTGAACCAGAAATAAGCTTCATCGCTAAGCGAAATTTGGCTCTAAAACGTCGGATCTTCTTGGAAATTTTCAATAGTCCGTAGAAAGAAACGATGTGGCTTTGTTAGGTCAAGCGGCTGTAGTTCTTGCACAAGCTGTATTTTGTACGCTTTCAATTTAAGATCTAGACCTGAATACGCCAAATCGTTCCATACGTCAATCCGAGTCCCTGTAAACGGCGGCCGAATCGACTTTCATCTTAGTGTATCTCTCAACTACGGCCGCCATATTTTGTTCACTGCGTGCTGCACGTGGTCTATCCGGCCGGATATCCAATAATGAATGCTTGGTCTGAAGATGGGTGGTGGGGTTGCGCAAAGCACACTCACTAGGCCGATTATGTTCGTTATAAAGTTGAACAATTGTAAACATCGTTCAGGAGTCAGTCTTTCCATGATGAAATGCCAAATATTAATGAATTATAAAACAATCATGACGGCTTAACATGACTCAGGCGTGTTTTTTCAAAAAAAATCAATTGAACATAGTACTTCTACTTGGCGACTTAAAGGCGGCCGAGCTTCCGCTCCGCATCTTGATGTTAACCAACATATAAATGGATCTACAGTTTGTACCAAGCCGCCGAAGAAAGGTCAATGGATTTTTATGAGATGCTTTTATGTCATATCAGAAATACACTCAAAGGGCTTAACTCTCATTGCCGAGCGGCGACCACAGAACTCGAACCCTGGCCTTCCGCATGGCAGTACACAATGCTAACCAGATGAATATTGCTATTGCCAAAATTATTGTTATTAACATAATTTACATTTTCATTAATCGCATGTGCAATTAGGCAGGTAGTCAAAAGGACTGATTTATTACAATAAATCACAATTAATTAATTAATTGATTAATTTTCATTTTTAGTTTATTAAAGTAAGTCACTTTCCGATTACGTAATTGTTTAATTAATCAGATTATAATTAATTTGATTAATCTTACAGTCGTTTAAAAATTGTTCCATTATTCACAAAATTTTTGGTTAAAAACAAAGCTCAAAAAAAGAAACCTCAGTTTATATAAATATATAAATATATAAATATATATCAACTTTGGTCCAAAGTATGTAAGAACGAGAAGGAAAAGATGCATACCCATCAAAATGTATACCCTTCGGGTCAGAATAACGAGTTGAATTGAGTTCCAACAAACTTCAGAATCGGCCAGGTTGAATCACTATAGAATATACGAGTATATAACCGATTTTTCCGATTTAAGATTTCGAACGTGAAATTACACATTTGTGCTGAAAATGTTCAAAATCGGAGGACTATAACATATAACTCCCATGCACCGATTTTTTCAGATATGAGGCTTTGATCAAAACCTCCTTCTAAAAGGGAGTATTTTACCCACGTACTATATACAAATAAATTTTGTCACCGAAAATCATTGGAGGACTATACCATACAGCGCCCATGCAACCGATTTGTTTAAATAAATATGTGGTTTTCGGTAAAAAAAAAACCCTCAACAGGGCATCTAAAAACGTCAAATTCAAACGGAAAATCAACGAAATCGAAAAATTTGATATGAAAGTCAATTTTTGATGTAAAATTGCTTTTGTACTTCTTCTCGTCAGTCCAGCAAATGCCGATCTATCGACCCTCCGTACTAAAAAGATTAAAGTAGGCTTTTCATCGTAATGCAGTCAAGTGTAAACTTTATTAACTAAAAATGAAGATTTGAGTCTCTTTCAGTGTCAAAAATCAGAATATATGCATAAGAGCAGAAACTCAAAAAAAAATATATGTATTTATTTGTATGTTGCCTGGTGTTATTTTATCCAAATTTATTAATCAGAATTAGTTTGATTGAAAAATATAAAGTGATTACTCGCACATCCATTAAGTTTTTTGAGAATGTTATTTCTACAATACATATATCCTGAGCTTGATTGACTTTTTAACTGGCAGATAATTCAAATATCCCTCAATAGAAAATAAAAGTTGTTAGTTAAGAAATGATTAAATTATTGAAAATGGGGAGCTCGCAGCACACGCTCTTGTTTATCTCTACCTAGGCAATTAAATTACGTATACGCAGTGTTGTACCAATGTCCAAAATCATGTTAACGCATCAAATTATTTCAATTTGAGCTAAAATTTTTTCAATTGATTAATTTAGAAAAGAAAACTATGTAAGGACCATTAGGTCAATATTTAGAAAAGAAGTATTTCAAGCAAAATATTATATTCCAAAAACTGTTTTACGCTGAATTTTGTGTATATTCGATAGCCAGTGATAGCTTACCTAAGACACAGTTTAGCTACACAAAAACTAACTTGCATTTTTCGATTTCAGTGCATTTTAATTGATTATGACATTTTTCTGCTCACAGTAGCCGAGTGGTTAGCACTTGCCTGCTACTATGTGGTTACATTCTGAAATCAATTATAAATCTCTTCGTTAAAATCCTTCAGACTTAGGTGCTTTCTTTTTTTTTTAAAAAAAACCATGGAAGAAGAATTCGTAGAAAAACATTCCACCACTTGTAAAGTGTTATTATAAAAGCTTAAATTATATAATGAAAAAATATATTCCTACCGGGGTGTACAGTAAGAGGTTATGCGCAGTTCAGAGTCTTAAAAGAGAGGTCTTTCTATAAATTTCGAATAGAAACGGTTTTTATTTTTCAATAACAAGTGATGACAATTCAAATATAGTCAACTCTAAAGAAGGTGAAACCTAACTCCTCGTCAATTCAGAAATTAAAGTGCTTGCGGGATTATTCCAAATGATAGATTAGTGAAGGTATTGTGCTAATACAAATTAAGAGTTTTCACAAAAAAGCTTCTATTTGAGGAAAATTCGTTTCTATTCTATTAGAACTATTGCCTTTGTTCAACCCAAGAAAAATATATAAGAAGAAAAGGAAATCTTTAATTTGTTTTAAATAAAACTATTTATTAGGTCTAGTAATCCGTTTACTTATTTTTCTGTAAAATTAAAGGCTTTATATAGTGAAAACTATCGGATTTATGTCAAATATGCACCATTTCGTCGGATACAGAAACCTCCCCTCTTTTAAGGCCAACCGAGTTCTCGGCGCTTCTGGCGAGTCACTGTCGATGTGTGTGATCTGGCATTGTCCATGTAAAACACAATTCTCCTCCTATTGGCCAAAGCTGAGTGCCACTAAGCGATTGCTTCCTCCATTCGCAGACATTACACATCCGAATTAAGAGTTTGGCTGTAGAGGAGCGGCTCATCATTCCTTGCCAATCACATCAAACATACAAAAACAAAACCTTCTTGGCTGTCAATCTTCACTTGGAGATCGGTTGTGCTGGCTCACTGCTCGTTGAACATGACCGTTTTCGCTTAACGTTACTGTAAGTGATCTACTTGTCTTTACCAGTTACCCTTTGATGCAGTGATGGGTCGATTTTGTTACAATTCAGCAACGATTCGCAGATGGAAATTCGGTCTTCGGTCGTTTCGTTATTTCATGTGGCACCCATTCTTCGAGCTTCTTTTCGTATCCAACTTTTCTCAAGTGGTTTCAAACTGTGTTTCGTGCAATGTTTAGCTCTTGGGCAAAGGGAACATGCTGGCATGACGGTCTGGCTTGACGATTTCTATTATTTGATTGGTATTTTCGACAAACGACCTTTGGGCTTAGAAAATAATGTAGATTCTTTTTTCTTTCCTTTTGTAATTCTAGTATTATTTGTTACATTTATCATTAAAATTATCTCATAAATATTCTTTCGAAGTACTAAATAACATATTGAGCATACATGGCGTATGAACAACATTTTGGGCATGCATGCATACATATGTATGTCATGCTAATGAATATTATATTTTCAAAGTTCAGCACTTTCAGCTTTTCAAAAGCATAATTTTGTATTTGGTTTCATAATCATTATCAGAAATATACATATATTGTATGTATGTAAATAAAAATGTTCGGTTTATTTAAGTTAACCTGAAGTAATCGAGGGACTAACCATTACTTGAGCCGCCCTAACCAATCAAATAAGATTCATAAAATAAATAATAATTTATTTTAAAATTACTTTCGAGTAAAATATAAATATAAATAATGACATTTATTACGATTTTTTTTAATTAAAATATAAATTTTCCACTTACAGATGTAATATTATGATGCCGCGATTGACACTCTAATGGGAGTTGGAAATGGAATCGGATAAACGCGTATAACAAAAGCAAAAATGCTGAAAATAAAAAAACAAAATACACAAGGAAAACAATTGCAACACTAGCATAGACGATAATAATAATAATAACAACAAGAGCAACAACAACCTTAAACCACGAAAATGTGGAAGATATTGAAACGGCGCGCGGATAAATCAAACGATGGAAGAAGAAACACACTTACTTACAACAAAACAAATACTGCAAAAAAACTTTGAACAAAACGTAAACGTCAACAACAGTAACAGTAACTGTAACAATAGCAGTAACAACACAACAACAACAACAACAAATCAGCGACAACCAACAGCAACAATAAACATGAGTAAATTATTATTAAATAAAAAGGAAAAATAATATTAAATTATTTATTAAGAAAAAAAAACCCAAACAACTGCAGTTGCCACTACGAAAAAGAGTTAATGAAGAGTAAATAGCAAAACTAAAAGTTAAAAAACAAATAGCAACAAATATGTATTTAATGCAGTTTTCTGCAACGAAGTATAAACAAACAAAAAAATGCTCTTACATAGAAAAGGCGAGCGAATCATGTAAACACAGGCAAAGCATATGAAGATAATAATAAAAGAAAAACAAATATTAACAGTATAGAAAAGATATTTTATATTTGTATGCGATAATTTAATGAGCTACTGAAATTGTGAATGAGTGTAATGAAATATTTAAACAAACAAACAAACAAACATAAATATTTAATGAAATGAAGAGAAATGTAAAGACTAAGTTAAACACACAGACACACACACACACACACACACACAGAAACAAGCAAACAAATACATACTTACTATGTAATAGAAATGTGTTTGAGAAATGCGAAAAGTTGAAGAGAAACAAGAGATTTGTTAGCAAAAAAATAAAAATAAAATAATAAAATTATAAAAATTTTGTAATTTGTAATTAGGAAAAAGGCGCAAAAAGCGCAGTGAAAATAATTCGTGTGAAAGGTGTGGCAAACGAGATGGCATAAACTAAACTTAGTACGAAAAAATAAATGTAAAAGCGGGGAAAACAATTCAAAAATAGCATATTATTTGACGAGTATTAAATTAGTTGAAAGAAAATGGCGGCAAAACAGCAGCGCTAGAGGAAAAATAGAAACAAACATGAATAAAACCAACACATATAAGGGAAAACATTTTTGAAAAGAGAATCTTATGAGCTGGCAATATGATTGTATTTTTGAATATATTTAAATATATTAATAGAAAAAACAGTAAGCTAACAAGAAACACTGAGGAGCAGTGGCCAACTAAAGGTTAAAAATGAAACTTGAAATTTAGAGCAAAAAAAGAGCAGCAACAACGCATACCCGCAAAAGATGCAAGGAATTTTGAATGTATTTGTGTAATAGAGTACATTGAAAGTATTTACATACATATTGAATGAGCTATTGAAACAATGTAAAAGGAAATAAACGAAGCAGAGTTGTAGTAAAAAAGTAAGAAGAAGCAAAGTTACTGCATATAAAGTGGCTTGGTGAAATCAAATTTATTTATTTAATAATAATAAAAACTGGCAATGAAGAGCAGAAGAGTCAACAAACAGTTGATAAATGATAGTAAATAGAGGATATTGAGATAAAGTTGTAAAAAGCTAACTAAAAGAAAATACTGAGTAGCTACAGTGCTAATCGGGCGACCGGGTGTAAGAGCGCTAAAGCAAAGTTTACTGGAAATTTTACACAAGATTGTTGAATATCTTTGAGTTTTTCATTTTATAAATGACATTTAATCGTTATATTTTTATTTGTTAAACACTTTTTCTTTTTTCTTTTTGAAGAGAATCCAAACAAATTTACGTAAATAAATAATAGTTCATAGCGAAACTGAGGAAATGTACAGAAATGCTAAATGCGAAAAGTGTAGTATTTTCGAGTGGCTAAATCCAAATGGGATATGTACGTATGAGAAAAAAAGAAGAGAACTTGATGAAATTAGCAACAGCCACACTAATACATACATACATACATACAATATATGTTGTAATTTCCGTCTTCAAATGCATACACACACGCACACACTCGTACATACATGTATGTATATGGACATTAAATGTGTTTATGAAATGAAAACGAATTTGTTAAACACACCTACATACATACATACATGCATATGTATGAAATGTTTTTTTTTAACACAATTTAAACAAATAAACTCAATGATTTATTATATACATAAAAAAAAATATGTTTAAACATGCGAAAATAAAGTTGATTAAAAGCATTGTTGCTTAAGTAAATGTGTGTGTATGCGGTTAAAGAAAATAAGAGAATTAAACAAACACAAATTGTTTGCCGTAGGAAAAACAAAAATAAAGCAAAATAATATGAAATAAAAGAAAAGGCACACAAAAGTGAAATGCCAACCAAAAGCTGGTTTTAAGCCATGCTTTGAGCGTTAATTTTTTTTTTTTTTTTAGGGAAGTAAATAGGAAAACTTGAAAGAAAATAAATTTGTAATAATAATAAATAAATAATTTAAGTGAAGTCTAGGTTGGGGTATAAGAACTAAATTGCATTTAAGTAAATAGAAAAAATAAAGAAATAATTTTTAATTTGTCATTTGAAAGTTTATTATACACGACCAAACAGTTAGTAAGTAGAGAGAGAGCATGATGATGCATAGAGAATGAAAGAAATGCGAAATTGATAGAAGAGTCCGCAGCAAACCAAAAACAACAAAAAAACTATAGAAAGAGAAAGCATTAATGCAATTCGCATGCAATACTTTTTTCCAAAGTTGCAAAAATAAAATGCATACATAGTTGTACATATGTACAAGCGTACATGCTTACATAGATTTATCAGCAGTTCGTGAGTATGTATGTATTGAACAAATGTTTGTAGCGAAAGGACTCAAACTTTTGTAGTGAAAAATAAAGCAGTTTTTGCTGAGAAAATATAAAAATATTTAGAACACAAAAAAATTAACAAACAAACGAAGTTAAAAAAAGGGAAAAATGAAATTGTAGAATTTTTTACATACAATGCAGAAAAGCAAAAACAGTAGTAGTGCATAGCCAAAACAAAAAAAAAACTTACAATACAAAATGAAAAAAAAACCATTTGAATGAAAAAATATACATATATGTATGAAAACAACACGTTTAGCGTACTATTATTTTGACAAAATTGAAAATAACAGCAAAATGGGCTTAAATGCATAATGAAAACTGAAACAGTGTTTGTATGTAAGTGTAGTTTTTTAGTAGTTAAAGAAAATACAAAATGGGGAATAAGTGCATAGACTAGACTTATGTATAATGTAAGATATAAAATTGCTTTAGGCATTAGTCTGTAATGAAACTCTACATAGCGTAATAAAATCTACATATTAAGTATGAGAGAGTTGGAAAAAAAAAATAAAAAAGTAATTAAATTTAATAAATTGTTTCTATTTTTTAGCACTTTTGAGTTACTTTTAACTAGCTCTAAGCATACACAATCTTCTTCTTTGTTAAACATTAGCGGTTTTCCTCTCCTATATATTTCTCTTTCTCTCTCACACTCTCTCTCTCTCTCTCTCTGTCTTTTCTGCTCTGTCTCTGTCCCCGTTAATTATTAAGTATTATTAAGAATTGACCGCAATTTCTTTTGTTTTTTTAACAATACTGAATGTATGTGTATTTGAATTGAATTTGAAGACGCATTCAAATAAATAAATATAATAATAAAAATATAAAAGAAATTTTAAATAAATAAAATAATAAAAGTTTTTTTTTGCGTGAGCGTAATACTTCGAAGTAAAAATATTTCAGAAAAAATAAGAAAAGAAAAGTTTTTAACAATTTAAAGAACGATAATCTTTATCATTAACGGTAACCACAATGAGCCAATGAGCCTAACAATCTGTACTTTGTTTTGTTGTGAAAGGAAGTCTGTTAAGCATATTTTTCTACTGGAAATATGTACATACATATGTGTTGTTAATATAGCTGAAGGAATGTTTTAAGAAACATGTAAAGTTTTTTATTTGTCTTCTAATTAATTTATCTTGTTTATGTTGTTTTGTTTTCTCTCAAAATAAATTAGAACTTTAGTGTTTTTTATTTGAGTTTATTTCAATTAAGTTTTGAATTTAATTTTAATGTTTATATTTAACGTAATTTATTTATTGAAATTTTTTTTATTTTAATTTTTGGCTAATTTAATTTATATTAAATTTTTCTAATTTTATTAAGCGTGTTTTATTTCATTTACCTCTATTTAATTTAATATATATATTTTCTATTGTTTTACTTTATTTTAATTTATTTTATTAATTAATAAATTTTGTTTTATTTTATTTCACTTGTTTAATTTTTTTTAATTTAATTTCATTTTTTTTTATGCTATTTTATTTTGTTTTATTTGATTATATTTCTTTATTTATTTAATTTAATTTTATTTTATTCATTTTATTTTATTTTACTTTATTTAATTTTTTTAATTTAATTTAATTTTATATTATATATAAATTTTATTTTATTTTATTTAATTTTATTTTATTCATTTTATTTTATTTTACTTAACTTTTTTTTTAATTTAATTTGATTTTATTTTATATATATACTTTATTTGGTTTTATATTATTTTATTTCAATTTATTTTTTGTTTAATTTTTTTTTTAATAAATTTTCTTTTATATTATTATATTTTGTTTTGTTTTATTTTAATTAATTTTTTTATATTTTATTTTGTTTTATTCATTTTATTTTATTTTACTTTTTTTATTTTAATTTTATTTTATTTTATTTGATTTTATTTAATTTTATTTTATTTTATTTGATTNTTTTATTTTATTTTATTTTATTTAATTTTATTTATATTGCTTTATCTAATTTAATTTTTTCAGTCTATTTTAATTCATTTTATTTTGTTAACTTTTAAACATTTTTTGTTTAATTTTCATATATTTTATCTTATATTATTTAGTTTTTTTATAAAAATTTGGGTAAAGAAATTGTTCCTGTTTTTATTTATTTGTTTTTTTTTTTTTATTAATTATCTGTTTCCGTTACGGAAATTTAAAAGAAAAAGAGAAATAAACAATTGAAAATTTTTGCTTCAAACTTTTTTTCTTTAATTAATTTCTATGTTTAACCAATAGAAAATTACATAAATATAAACTATTATTTTTGTATGAATATAATACATTCTTCCCGTATTTGAGATTTTTTCGAAGATGTTCCTAACCTCAAATACCAACAATAATAAGACACTTGTCAACTTTTGCTCGATCTCTTTGCAGGAAGCTTTGAGGTTACGTTAAGACTT